GCAGTGTCATCAAAGAAAAGGAAACATCAAGGAATTACAATTTACTAATTCTTACTTTGTTTTATTGGGAGAACATTCTTGATAGGAACAAGGTTTTGTTATCTTAAGAGCAAAAGAAAGTCCGGAGATGGATAAATATTACGTATTAGTCTCACAATACGCGCTTTGAATTCATTACAAACTTTATTAATCGGAACTCAAAACATTTTTTAATAAAGTAGAGACTGAATAGTCATTGACATATGAAAAGAAATTATAGGTGCCAGAAAGTGTTAGTGGTACTTGACCAAAAAAAGAAAAGAAAAGAAAGTGTTAGTGGTACAAAATAGTTACCTCACATCACACTCAAATTCCCCCTCTCACTTTCTCCTGTAGCATGCTTTTTGTTCCAAAAGAAAGTCATTTACCAAGTCGTTTTTGTATTATCCTAAGAAAGTCCAGTCCAACTTCGTTACGTTTTCTGGGATAGTTTCTTCCACAAATAATGCTCTATGTTTTGGGTAACTTTTGTGTTTTCCACTACCCACAAACTCAAAGTGGCAGACCTGCCTTACCTGCACTCTCCTTTCCACTCATTAATGATTAATTCATAACATGGCAAAAGAGGCTCACAGTGAATTTATGCTCAAGCATTATTTTTACCTCGAGTGGTCCATTCTTTATAAATTTAAACACACTCGAATTTACTTGATACGTATGAATATACATATGTAACACTTGCATTTATCTTGTATCTTTTTTCAGAGAAGGCTAAGCAACCAAACAAATGAAGGCTAAACAAGGGAAGATTTTTATGGTATAATAACTCTCCCAACTAAACCGCCCATACATTGTGATGGTATTATTACTTCTACCAAACAAACCTAAATAATTTCCAACCTACTTTCTCTCTATCTCATAGAGTAGGGCCCTCTAGATCTATATTTATGAATCTGCTTGATTTTGAAATTTGAGTATCGGAATTGCTAGAAAATGTTGGTGAAGGTTAAAGGTTTATGAGTTTACTAACTAGCATTTAGTCTAATGGTATTTGTCTCCACTTAATTGAAGGAGGTCTCAAGTTCGATTCACATGGATAATGATAACGATATATATTTATAATTAGTTTGATACATAGTTATAGTTGTCATAGCCTTATTGTGATGGTATAGCCTTGTTATGAGTGTATGGATCCGTTACAAAATCTTCTAATATTCTAACGTTTGTAAAATAAAAAAATTAAAAAAAAATTGATGAGCTTACGTCAATTGATTAAAATCAGTTCTTATTAAAGTTGATGGCAATGACTCATTACCAATAGGCTATGCATATTCAATGCAAAGCATTAATATGTGTTTATTTGTTATTGTCCAATGTCCACACATTTCTCTGTGTGGAGTTTGAGACATGGCTAGCAAGCAACTGGCCATCAACAGAGTGATCTGATACTGATAGCATTCAATACATATGCAACTGTACAATGTATTATTAGCTATAGCTATACATCCCACTATCAACATTACCCCTAAATAAAAACCATTCAAGAAACAAAGACACTTGTGTAATAAGCAAGAAATATAGGCCACGTATGGTGCCATGACACTCACATAATTCTTGTCGGTGGGTGGAATCGGATGCAGATACCAGTGACACGATACTCCTTATTTTCTGATAGCTTGAAATTTTAGGCTAATGGTTGTCTTGACATGATGTTAGAGCTTTTTTTACAAGGGATCATGAGTTTGATTTTCTTTACCTGCTTCTTTGTTGGTTTGCAAAGTACAGAGCGGTGCTGCACCCCTGTATGTTTGTCTCTCTTGCCGTTTCGGTATGCCACTCCAAGATAGTTTGATGTACATTGTTGGCTCATTCCCCGATAGCTTAAGCTTTTGAGGCCAATGACCGGTGACCAAATAAGTCCAAACCAAAATTATTAAGGTCGGATTCTATTGATTCTTGTTGTCTAGGGTTCAATTACTATGTACACCCAATGCAATCAACTCTCAAACAAAACAATTTCTGCAATATTACTAGAGAAGTATACTCATAATTAATATTCTTAAAACCCTTAAGTACCTCTATAAGTTTCACATGATTAAGTTAGTAACCACAACCATTACCACGACATGACTAAAGTCAGCACCACAGTACCATTGGCCTCACAACAACAGGTCAACACCAACCACATTTACCACCAAGTTTTCCTTCAACATACAGAAACCATAAATGCTGAGTCACATATCACATTCATTCACAAAGTTCCTGTATGGTCCTGAGATGAATGCGTATGAAGCTCATACGAGGTCAACAAATGGGGCACTAAGTCACATTTTCAACATACAAAATCATCTGAGATGCAGAAATGTTCAACAGGTCTTGATTTTCCTTTCAATGTGAACTCGACAAAGCATTGTTAACTTTAAACAAAGATGAAATCATGGATCTGTTTGTTTGATCACTCAGAAACTTCAACAAGACTCTCTGGGCCTGATTTTATGGTAAATTGAATGCCAGATTTGCAAGTAGGTTACAGAGGCCTGGGTTCAAACCCCAGCATGGTCTTGGGAAGGCACATAATTTAATTCCATTTTCATGCATTGCCCAAATGTTTTTAAGGAAATTGGTTAATGATGGTAGTTGGAATGACAGGTGGACCACAGGTGAGATAGAGAAAGGCATTATATAATGCAGAAGAGGCCAATTTCAGAGAGATGGAGACTTAGCTGCAATGTTGCCATTGATGTGGACAACACCAATACAACAGCACAATTTATTTACCATATGAATTAGCTGTTTACAATCACTGTTACAGAAGACAGCTAGGGTTCACTATTTCGTAATTCAAAGTAACCAAGTGCACGGTTGAATGCAAAATAGCGGAAACATATGCCCAAAATGACACTATTTTTAGGATATAAAATTTATTGTCTAGGGACGAAGGACCTACTGGTGTAGTAGTTTGGAGTAATTGTTCTCCTAAGAAAGGTAATGGGTTATCATAAGTACAATATCAATACATAAAATATAAATAAAAGAGCCAAATTCTCCAAATTATAAGATTTAGATCACTATAAACTATAATTATAATCTAGGAATGGTAACTTAATTAGTAACTGAATTAGGGTAAGTGAAAAGGAAGGTAATGGTGAAATTTATTTTATTAATAAATTAATGGAAAGACAATAATGTAAAAGCAAAAACAAAAAGGCGGGTAAGAGTATTAAAATTCGGTTAGAACGGTTAAGGCATTTTCTAAATTGAGAGTGGGAGACATCGAAGTTGGCGGGAACACTTGGAAGGAGAACCACACAGAAACAAACCAGTGTCATCACCCAAGACATGTAAATTCCCAAATCCAACACTTTCTAACAAAAAAAGATAATTAAATAAATAAAAACAGTGCCAAGAAAACTTTTTCCAGGAAGATAACATCGCATACTCATCTGCTCTGCTGGTTTTAGTTTTCGCTCTGGAGCACTTTTTTCTTTCATTCTTTTTTCCTTTTTTAATTCATTTGACTATAAAACTTGCCTGGTGCGCTAAGCTAACTGAATTTGGCCGGGAAAACTTAGATGGGTATGTTTGAATCTGCTGTTTTATTGTCGGGTTTCGAGAGAATTTGGAAAAATACCCAATTCGTCTCCATGATCCTAATCTCCATTTTTGTTCCTTGAAGAAGCTAAATTTGTTGGTCATTCTTGCTCTACAGGAAAGGACAATTTGCACGTTTGGTGGTTGCCATTTCCATTCTCCACCGACCATTGTCTCTGGTTAGGCCTTATCTTTCTGCAGTAATGAATTTCTTTCAGAAACTTCATTGTTAGAGTACTTCAATTTAGTTTTGATCTCCATTTTCAGATTTTTGTGGTCGAGTCTTAAAATGGAGCAATTTCGAAAGATTGGGGAGGATTTGGGAAGTATGAAGGCCTTGATGGTGTTCCAAGACAACATCCAAATCAATCAGCGGCAGTGTTTTTTGCTGCTTGATATCTTCAGCTCAGCATATGAATCAATAGCAGAGGAGATGAAATATAATCTGAGATTTGAAGAGAAGCACACTAAATGGAGGGTTCTCGAGCAGCCGTTGAGAGAGCTCCACAGGATATTCAAAGAAGGAGAAGCCTACATCAGGCACTGCTTGGAAACAAAGGATTGGTGGGCTAAAGCCATTACTCTCTATCAGAACTCCGATTGCATTGAGTTTCACATCCATAACTTACTTTCCTGCATGCCAATTGTCATTGAAGCAATTGACATTGCTGGAGAAATATCAGGGTGGGGTCAGGATGAGATACAAAGGAAGAAAACCGTGTTCGCGGATAAGTACAAAGATGACTATAGAGATTGGAAACTTTTCAAGTGGAGATTTGGGAAGCAGTATTTGATTACTCAAGATTTCTGCAATAGGTTTGACACAACATGGAAAGAAGATAGATGGACTCTTCTCCATAAAATCAGAGAAAAGAAACTTTCAGGTTCGACAAAGTACGGGAAACGCCTCATAGATCTTCTTTTCAAAAGCTTAGATGGGTCAGAGTCACAGCCTTTGAATGGAAAGCTCTTACCTAGTTCAATCCTGGTGGGGTCTAAGGACTACCAGGTGAGGCGACGGCTAGGGGGTGGAAGTCAGTATAAAGAGATCCTATGGCTGGGTGAAAGCTTTGCCTCAAGACACTTCTTTGGGGATATTGAACCCCTGCTGCCAGAGATTTCTTCATTGTTATCTCTGTCCCACCCCAACATAGTGCACTTCCTTTGCGGGTTTACCATCAAAGAGATTTGTGGCCCACGAAAACGATTTCCATTTTCTCTTCCTGTTGCAGTTGATCTGATGCTTCAAATTGCAAGAGGAATGGAATATCTCCACTCGAAGAAAATCTACCATGGAGAATTGAATCCTTCTAACATACTTGTTAAAGCAAGAGGCATCTCCACAGATGGGTACTTGCAAGCCAAGGTTTCAGGTTTTGGTTTAACTTCTGCGAAAAGCCCCAGCCAAAAAAACCTTTCAAATCAGAATGGAAGCCTACCTTTCATCTGGTATGCTCCAGAAGTTCTGGAAGAGCACGAACAGACAAAAAGTAGTGAGAAAAAGTACACAGAAAAGTCTGATGTGTACAGCTTTGGCATGGTTTGCTTTGAGCTTCTGACAGGGAAAGTGCCTTTTGAGGATAGTCATCTTCAAGGGGAGAAGATGAGCCGAAACATAAGGGCAGGAGAGAGGCCGTTGTTCCCATTCTATTCTCTGAGATATGTGACCAACCTCACAAAGAAATGTTGGCACAGTGACCCTAATCTACGGCCAAGCTTCTCATCCATCTGTCGGATTCTAAGATATATTAAAAGGTTCCTTGCAATGAATCCTGATTATAACAGCCAGCTAGACCCACCAGTGCCTATGGTAGATTACTGTGAGATTGAGTCAGGGATTCTGAGAAAGATTCCTTCTTGGAAGAGTTGTGAGCAACCACCAGTATCACAAATCCCATTTCAGATGTTTGTTTATAGAATTGCGGAGAGAGAAAGAACAACTTTGAAAGATACTTCAGAATCAGGAAGCGATGGAGCTTCAATCTGTGGAGATGAAATGGTGACCACTCCAGACGAACCATTCCCGCCCGCGCCTGAGAGGAAGTGTTTAACATCACCTGATAGCATGAAAAAGAAACTTCCATTCTTGAAGAAATCTTCAGATGTGAAAGCCAACAGACTACCAGGTTTCCCTAATCACACAACTCATTTATGCCTGATTATTTCCTGAGAAACAATTATATATCTCAGTTAGAACCGCTAACATGTTAATGCCTAAAACAGCAGAAACTAGATCTTACTGAAAAAACATTAAAACATAGAGGAAGACTAGAAGTATATTAGTACTTTGCATATAGCATACACATGTTGTGATTGATTGCACCAAGTAATATGGTATCAAAAGTTAATAATATGATTCTCCCTTCTGCCTGTTTCACCATCCTTGCACCCGTTATGCATTTTCTAGCAGAGAATCGTATGCATTGGCAATGAACAAACTCTATTATTATAGCATGAAACTTTCCCTTTACTTTTATGCACAACTAGAAAAGGAGAGTAAAGTGATTTTTAGACATTAGAAAACAGGATTATTTCTTTTATGCCCCGGTGCACTGATGTCTTCTGCCTTTGGTTACACAGGAACACCAAGAGGACGGTCTGTCAGACCTCCACAGATGAGCCCTTGTGGCCGTAGTATTAGTCTCAGAATGAGTTCAGAAAGCCAGCTAATGGCGATGAGTCCAAGAATACGGAGAACATCATCTGGACATGCCTCAGATTCTGAGCTCTCCTAGACCTTGATACGTCATACATTTTGTCAACAAATTACTTAGCTTCAGTCTAACTTTCATGCAATATGTGGATTGCTCAATCAAACATCAAGAGAAAGCACAGTTCAAGATAGGAACGGTTTAGCTTGCTCTGATGACTACAAGCATCTGTATCAATAGTAGATTGTGTTTAAGAGCCACAGTAAAATGTTGAAGGACAGAATTCTTTGTCAACGAAAGCTCAAATGCACAGAAGGAATCTATACCAGGAGAAAGATGGAGGAAGAAAAAGGTGTTTTAAGGCCCTAAAGTGGGGGACAAAAGTTGCAAGACCAGTCGAATTTTTTTTCAGAATCAGAACAAGATATCATGGGCAGAAACTCAGAGCAATCCTTTAGTGAGTAACTTTACAACGAGTCAGCTACAAACTTACAAGGTTGAGTCATAAAGAGCTTAACATTTGTATACAATATATAATTATGTGGCAAAACCTTCCATACCTTTAAACTTTGTCCTCTGCAGAGGAACAATTTATTCAAGGAATCCGTTGAGCTTAACGCAGGCAAGACTTCAACAGTGATGATCTCTGACAAGATATAACAACTTAAAGGCAAGAAAAAGACAACCTCAATTCATCTCAACCAGGGGCAAAAGATGAGATTGTATATCTGAGAATAATATCCTCTTATTGGGTATATGAGTCATGATAAAAAAATTCCATTATTAGTTTAATACTGAGATGATCAGAAAGTGTAAAGCATTCAGAAGTGGCACAACTTTGATCAAGCCGTGCAAATAATGAATCAAAATTTACATCTTATGTTTTTTCTTTTTTCTACATAAATAAGTTCAGCAATACTTGCATAAGTTCGAATTTGGAACTTAGTATAAAAATCCCATCAGCATCACAGTGAAGCCATAAATTTCTCTTCAAATTTAGAGTTCCGAGCATTTAGATTCCTATACTAGTATCTGTTCCTAGATATATACTTTCTTGTATAAGATCTATATTCCTTGAGAAATTCTTGATAACACAAATTGATTTCTTCATGAAGTTCACTTGCCATAATCAGCCTTTAATCGATTTCTTTTATCCGCATAATTGTATATACATCCAGGACACATAGGGCTGGCTCTGTTAAATTTTTGTTACAATGTAGTCTTCAACCTGACTAGTTTCTGCTTCAAATCATATTTTTCATTCCAAGAAGAAGAAAAAGTAAATCCAGGACAGGCAAGCTAATAAAAAATGTTTTCAGGAAAGAACAGATTCCTTGGATTATTTAGGGAACAAGCTTATACTCACACCATCTGTAATAATTTCAAAGTTCCAGTTGAGTTGGCAGCAACAACTATGTTAGACTTTTTTCTCCAACAGACACTCGAGACAAACTGCCCGCTATAATCACCAACCTCATTTCCAGAAACTGGATCAATTGATCCAAATTTGTGTGAAGTGATTGGCATGGGTAGACTTCTGTAATAACTATAAACCTGAAATGGGAAAAGAAGAGAGAGAGAGAGAGAGAGAGAGAGAGAGAGAAAGAGAAGAAGAGAAAGAGAGAGAGAGAGAAAGAGAAGAAGAGAAAGAGAGAGAGAGAGAAAGAGAAGAAGAGAAAGAGAGAGAGAGAGAAAGAGAAGAAGAGAAAGAGAGAGAGAGAGAAAGAGAAGAAGAGAAAGAGAGAGAGAGAGAAAGAGAAGAAGAGAAAGAGAGAGAGAGAGAAAGAGAAGAAGAGAAAGAGAGAGAGAGAGAGGGAGAGAGAGAGAGAGGGAGAGAGAGAGAGAGAGGGAGAGAGAGAGAGAAAGAGAAGAAGAGAAAGAGAGAGAGAGAGAAAGAGAAGAAGAGAAAGAGAGAGAGAGAGAGAGGGAGAGAGAGAGAGAGAGAGGGAGAGAGAGAGAGAAAGAGAAGAAGAGAAAGAGAGAGAGAGAGAGAAAGAGAAGAAGAGAAAGAGAGAGAGAGAGAAAGAGAAGAAGAGAAAGAGAGAGAGAGAGAGGGAGAGAGAGAGAGAAAGAGAAGAAGAGAAAGAGAGAGAGAGAGAGGGAGAGAGAGAGAGAAAGAGAAGAAGAGAAAGAGAGAGAGAGAGAGGGAGAGAGAGAGAGAAAGAGAAGAAGAGAAAGAGAGAGAGAGAGAAAGAGAAGAAGAGAAAGAGAGAGAGAGAGAAAGAGAAGAAGAGAAAGAGAGAGAGAGAGAGGGAGAGAGAGAGAGAAAGAGAAGAAGAGAAAGAGAGAGAGAGAGAGGGAGAGAGAGAGAGAAAGAGAAGAAGAGAAAGAGAGAGAGAGAGAGGGAGAGAGAGAGAGAAAGAGAAGAAGAGAAAGAGAGAGAGAGAGAAAGAGAAGAAGAGAAAGAGAGAGAGAGAGAAAGAGAAGAAGAGAAAGAGAGAGAGAGAGAAAGAGAAGAAGAGAAAGAGAGAGAGAGAGAGAAAGAGAAGAAGAGAAAGAGAGAGAGAGAGAGAGAGAGAGAGAGAGAGAGGAAAAATTATAGTTAGTTAAAATCTCAATCCATATAGTCCATAATGACATATTGGTTTAAAATAACATAGAAACTTGAGGAAGGGTTGGAAGATGTATCAGGGATTACTCTTGAAGGAGCAAATCTTTTGAAAAGAAAGCCCATACATTAAGTAGACCCTTCACCATCACATGCCCATTTTAATACAACATGAGATGGTTAAAGGTATGACTATAGGGTCCTTCAAAAACGAACTCATTATTGAAAAATAATAATCATAACCGGAGGGAGAAATCTAAGGATAACAAATTTGTACCTCGTTCGTTTCTGAGCCGCATGCTATGTATCCATCCGAAACAGATAAACCAACAAAATTCTGAGCAACCAGGACATGAAGAGTTAGAACTATTAAAACATTAAAACATGATAAATTCTGAGTCTTATATCAAGAGCAGAGTAACCAACCTTCTGATTAGTATGACCACTAAAAGTTAAGCTGCAGGCATTGGAGGACAACCCAGTTGAGATTGCTTGGTTAAGATCCCAAAGCTTCAGAGTGTTGTCCGTGGATGCAGAAACAAGGGTTTCAGCATCTACAAATTTTACATAGCTAACAGCTTTTCCATGACCAGGTAAAGTGCACCAAGGGATTCTAGTATGGCGAAGATCATAGCCGTAGATCTTGTAATCGGCAGATCCAAAAACCAAGAGATTGGAAGAGTATGCAGAGAACTGAACGCAACAGACATTAGCAGGGCTCCAGATTGTGCCTATTGATTTTTTCTGCACAAATACCATTCAAAAACGTTTCTCATAATTTTGTAGTTTGGAAATTTTCATAAAGGTAAACTCCTGAACTTACAAACTATAGCTCAAGTTCAAAAAATAGTACCCACAAGGATAAGTCAAGATCAAGAAGATAATATTTTGCATGCTAATGCCATTTTTAAATCATGTAAGAGAGCAATACCTCATTGATGCTCCACAGTTTCACAGAAAAGTCATCACTCCCACTAGAAAACTTTTTTGGGTCAGCTTGAGAAAAGTCGACAGACCAAGCCCTCCTTTGGTGCTCTACGTACTGAGAAAATCCTTGACCAGTAGATGCATCCCACATCTGAACTTCATACATGAAGATGGTATTTATAATTGGTAAAGAAACAGATTTCTGACTTTATTAATAGCCTCAAATGAAAGCACTAACTTAAACCTTGCACAGGCATGCACAATTTACATGTAGTCTGGATTTACGTATTTGATTGTAGGAAACACACCTGTACAACCCCATCATAATCTGTTGATGCTAGATAGTTCTTAAAGTAGTTGTTCCAGCAAACACAGCTCAACTTAGATTTGTTTGGCATCTCAACTACAGGATAATGGATATCCAAAGAATTGTCTACAAGCGCAGCAAAATCAAAGATCTTGATTTTCTTTGATACTCCAGCTGTAGCAATATACTCCTCATCACAGTCGAAACTTAAACAGCAAATCACATTGCTAGAGTTGAGAAGATCCCCATTTCTTAATGTCCCACGTACTTCAAACTTGCTACGGCGAGCCAACTTGCTAACACCATCAAAAAAGGCTCCAAGCCGATCACCTGATTTCTGATTGAGGCTTGAATCCTGAGTATGATTTCGCACATGACACCACCTGTATCGATTGTTTAACACCTCCTTATAAGAGCATGCTACAGGAGCAGTTTCTGTTTTCCCCATTTGGGATCTTGTGGAGGCGTAAGCATCCTCTAGTTGACTGATATTCTTCATCAAGAGCGTCTCATTCATGTTTGACGCGGCAATTAATCGAGAAGAAACACCTGAACTTACAGGGTCTTCAAGACAGAACCCCTGTTCTCTTTCACTAGGAAATTCCCCTGATAAATGCCTCCTCCCGAACTTGTTTATATCTTCTTCTAGGCATCTTATAACTTCCACCAACTTAGAGGCATGCCCTTGCTTCTTCTCTTTTAATGGGATAAGAAAACTAAGTAATAGCTCTGATTCAGCATCAACATTATCAGCAGAATTTGAAAAATCATCACAGCGAGCCGATTCTTGGTATCCACCTATCAGTTTAGACTGCAGGATTTCTCTGTTGCACACCAGAAAATAAAAACTTCAGAATGTGGCCAGTTTAGACATACTTCATTGGATAACAAATAAAGGATATACCTTCACATCAACATGCACTAGAGCTATTGATTGTACACATTTACATGGTAATAGAACAAGAAGCTTGCAGGTTGACAGTTGTCAGTGCAACATGGATAATTGAGTTTAGCAACAACAATGCTGAAAAGTGAGAAGTTTAAGGCTTTAAGTTGGATTTGGATAGGTTAACCAAGTAAAGGATGGTAGTGTAGGAACTCATAATTGGTAGCATTACAATATAGATCATATGGTACCATTGCCTTGATTTTTCATACTCCTGACAAGGTTAATAAATATAGTAGAAGGCAGTAAATTAAAGAAATGCAGATGGTGGTACCTTGTTGTTGGACGAGCCAAAGGTTCAGGATGGAGAAGCAAAAAACAAAAACCAGCTTCCAGAGGATTTTGTGAAAGAAACTTTGGTGGCAGAATTCGATGGTGCAAATCCAACATCACCACGCAATGCACCTCCCATGATTCACAACGGCACAGCAACTGACATAAACGAGCTAAACAAGTCAAATGTATAGATTTTCTACTCCAACCCCAAGGATAGAACTTTATAACTCAAAAAAAAAAATTAAAGAAAGACAAACGAAGATTTATTTTTCCAGTTTTGAGAGCAAACTATTTCTTACATTAATTTGATAGCAGAACTTAGCACAAGGAATTTTACCCGTTCATCATTTCAGAATTAACTTACAGTGTCATAACAAGCGAACAACAAGTCTAAAGTTATGTTAGTTCAAATCAAATTATATAATAAAATCATCTGCCTAGAAGTACAGGTTGTTCAAGTTAACTTACAAATAATAAGAACTTGTGGAAACACTTCAAAATAACTTCTCACCTCGAAAAGAAGAACCCCAAGGCAATAGACATTTGATGAAAGTGTGGAACCTCTCTCATTGAGCTCCTCTGGACTGGTATACCACTTCTCTTCCAACTGAACAATTACAGAAATGGATCTTTGCTGTACGGCAACCAATGCATTTTGGTAGCTCGAATTCATTTGAAACTGGAGTTCACCATAGCCAGAATTTTGTGGACCAGCTATGCAAAACTTTTCCTCATTACCCTCACTCAGTTTTAGCTGTTTTCCACCTAAAATACGTTCAGCACATGCATCCTGCTCTGATGGCCTTTTGATAATCAAATCTCGGTTCATAAGACTATTTGATTCTCGGATGGCTGATGAACCTGTGTATTTAACCTTATTCGATGGAAATAAAATGAAGCGCGATGGTCGTAAGTCTTGCAAGACGACACCTTGAGAGTGTGCAAAATCCACAAACTCCACAATCTGTCTAAATATGAGCAGGCTTTCAACTATATCTACTTTGTGTTCCCCAGGTTTAAGCCAGTCCCTCAAGCAAATCCCATTACTGGTAGATTTTGGGCCAGACCTATCAAGCACATGTGAAGAAATCTGATCACTGTTAACAATTGATTTCAACTGTGCATCACAAGCTACCTCAGAACCATAACCCAGGTTTTTTTCCTTCTGGTCCGTAGCTGAGAATGGCTATTACTAGATTGGGTCTTCAGTTGCTTTTTGGCGATACTTAGCATATTGTTTGACATGATCTTGCTGTCCTCAACCCCTAAATATGCAGACAGTTTGTCTGGTTCCTGCTCTGAATGATTGCTTAACAAAGGCTTCAGACTTCGTATGCGAGAAGGCATTTCTAAAAGCTGACTTCTTACTCTCAACTGTGTCTGATCATTGTCCTGTGACATAGTATCACCATGAAAATTCTTACTTCTAAATGCACTGGCTACCGGATCGGGATCTTGCCAACATTCCTGACTAGGACTAAGTAAAGCTGAATTTGGTTTCCTATGATGTTTCAATGTCATATCCTCAACCACAAGCCCCGTGCCATTTATGGAACCGGAGCTCTTACAGGGCGGCTCAAATACAGATGAGGAAGTTACGCATTGACTCAAATCCTTTCCCTCCATTGTAACACTGCAATTCCTAGGCGAGCTCTCGGGCCAATTGCTCCTTGCCATTCCCAATGTGCACACTGGTGACTCCAACAAATTTGGACCCTCCAGTTTAAGAAAAGGATCACAATCTTTTTGCTTACGTTTTTCATTCCTCACCACACCCTTCGCAGCCATCTTATCTACCAAACTATCAAAACCATCCATTTGCACTTCACTCAATGGATATAAATAACTTCTGGTGAAGTGGCCTGCTCATGTCAAAATGAAAAAGAATCGCTAATAAGGAAGATAGATGAATTCATAATCAATGAGTTGGAAAATTAATTAAATATAAAAGTATCAAAATCAGCATCAAGCAACACCAACTTCTGGTTTCGAAGACTCATCTTTTACATCAACAGAACATAAACCACATTTCCATTTACGTAAATTCGGAAAAATAAATGGAACAACTAAGTCTAGAGAAACAAAGATTACCATCTAGGAAACCCCATCCACTCAAATGTAGAAATGTAATCCAACAGGGAAAAATAAAAATAAAAAAGGTGAAAGTAAACAAGCACAGACAAAAGAAAAAGAAAGAAACTAGTTGTCCAACATCATCATTTTCTTGCAACAGTACAACACAAATGCATCATTCTTAACAATCTACACAATCCAATCATCACCGGAGAGCAACAAGTTCTTATATCACCACCAACTAAACAAGAACACAACTTACAGAAAAACAAAAACCCATTAATCTGAATCAAATTTCAAACCCAAAAGAAAAGGCATTTACCATTGAATCAAGTACCAGGCAAAGTAACAATGGCAAGCAAGCCCACCAAATCCCCTGCAAGCTCAGAACAGAGAGCCACCAAAAAACGCTGAAATGGAAAGCTTCTTCTTTTTAAAAACTAACAAAAGTGGAATATTGATATATATATCTCCAACAGTGTCTAAAACTTTTTACGTGGTGATATGAACATGATTAAATTTTCCCAAGTTGACTGGTATCCTTTCTATATATGATTATAATAACAGTCGTGGTTTATACTCTGTTTGTATATTTTCCATTTGCTGGTGCTTGTTTTCAAAATTCAGAGGCTTTTGCAAGTCTGGCAAAGAGAAGCAGCCACGATATTTTCTCTCTCAGAGAATTTGTGAACGAGACTGCTTGATTAGTGTAGTTGGTTGCTTTCGGTGGAGTTGTTTACACACAAATGGGCATATGTTTTTTCTTTATTACTGATTCTGCCATGTTTAGATTTTTTGCGCTCATGGATTTAATTAGTGGATGATAATGTAAGTAAGGTTTTTAGTTTTTGGTTTTTGCTAAATGAGGTCTAAGAACATAATATCAGAATTGAACTCTCGTTGTGATTGCGCACATTTTGTAACATCTGTAGATAAAATGAATCCAAACCATACAAACTGGTCAAATAAAATCAATCTCATTGTTTGATTTAACTTTTTACGCTAAAGATATCATAATTTGAACCGTATTCTGTTTAGTATTTGAAAAATATCTTACTCGAACTAAATCATATAATTAGTATGTTTATTTTCTATGCATTTATTTACACACAAAGAATAACAAATTATGTTCGTTTCGAGTTAAAATTTGTAATTAAATACCTTTAAAATTAAGAATGAGATCCATTAGAGAAAAATAGTTTATCCAATTTCAATTCTTTGATTCTCGTGACTATAATTTTAGGATAACATCAATCTAAATTGGACCGTGCTTATCATCATGTCCAAAGATAATCATGTCTGTGACTCAGTCAGTTGTAAATGCAGTCGCCAAGTCAGTCTGCCAAACTTCGGTAACAGCAAATATGTGGTGTGGGATCGGTTGCGATGAAATTGGTGAACCAGATTCAATCACAGTCCCCATCACATAAAGAAGAAGAGGAAAAAAAATCCAATTGAGTAGTTATTCTCTCACTGTCTTTAGGGGCATTTTATGTAATTCAATGCAACTGTGGTGACGGTACGGAGCATGGCACGTGTTTGGTAATTATTATTATTTTTTTTTTTTGGGGTAGTGTTTAATTGGAGGGGTTTAAGCGAACCACGTAGCCAATGAATAAGTGGCTCATAATGAGGCTGGTCGCACGTCGATGTTGATGCGAGCACTACCCCAATTTGTAGATCTTTCTCAGGGAATGTTCATGCCACCAGCTCAAGCGTCAATCAACAACCATTTTTCTTGAGGGTACGGATTGCCCTCCTATTTTAAAAATACCAGTATGCAACTGACCGTAGCACAATTTTTAACGAACACGTATATTATTAACTTTCGATGTTAAATTAAGCTTTAACACGTTTTTAATCAAGTGAATTCAGTTTATGTCACATGTTATTTAATGTTACACGATAATTTTTTGTTTTTACAAAAGAATTCTACAATTGGGTGATTGCTGTAGTTTATAGTTTATATGGTAAAAATAAATATAGTTTATACAATTTTAGTAAAATTTATTTGTCCTTCCATTGAAAGTTTTCTGGCTCCGACTCTGTAAAGATAATACAAGCCTAGATTGGCGGTAAGCCTTAATTTTACCATCTAATTATGTGACTGATTTACGTGTACAATCTGGTCTTTCATGAATCAATACACGAAGTCCCCTTACTCATTACGAACAAACATCACTATAACAATTATCAAGGCAACTGAGACCTAATTTTATGAAGAACAAAATATTACTCTTCGATCCTGGCCTTTGTCAACCACAAAGTCTCGCTGTTATTATTTGGTAAGCCGCGATCGCTTTCGTTCTTGTTTTGTGCCCAAAATTTACATTTGTTTTAATTGTTTTTTCTTCTGAGAGATTATTTTTTATTTCTTTCATTTTGTTGTTGAAGGTTTGGATTAGTAAAATGGCAGAGCCTGCTAGAGTTCTAGACAACAAGGTTGATGAGGTGCAGGAAGACAGAGAAATGGAGCAGAATGAAGAATCGGTAGCATCGCAAGAATTGCCTAACTCGATGTTTACAGCTGAGTTGAACCTCCTTATTGTGTTTCTCTCATTGTTTTCTGTATCAACCGAAGAAAGCTTAAACTCTGTAGAGAGAGAACCAGAAAGAAGAAAAGACGGAGCTAAAGCTATCAAGGTATTAAAAAAGAAAAGACGGGAGATAGACGAGGTCAAGCCGGTCCGGCGACGAACTCAAAGGTTTCAAACAAGAGTAAGGGATTCTAGGTTAGTGGTCTCCTAACAGAAATCATATGGATTTAGGAAATTCTATTATTTGTTATCCTCAGATGTTTGATAAAATATTGCTCCTCCTATGTATGTCCAGGCATGGCCGACGAGTATAAAGAATGATGTCGATGAAGGAGGAAACTGTTCAGCAAGGAAAGAGATGCCAAACGATGTCATACAAAAGTTTCCAATTTCTCATAACTATATTTTATCCAATTTTCCTCTACACTTATCCCCCACAATTAGTCGAAAAGAAAGCAAACAAAGGAAAGGAGCATGTTTGGAATTCTTTCAAATAATATTATAATCATATTTGTTCTATTTTCATGCATCATTCTGTAACGAAAATTATTGACAAACACATTATATTAGATTATTGATATATAATGCATGTTTTTTTCTTCTTTTTTCTGCAAGAAATATATATGGAGTCAAATCAAAGAAGTTTGTGTGTTTGAAAGAGACAAAATAAGCAAACGCACCCAACAAGTTTGATCCAGGAAGTGTAGAAAATGCTTTCTCAAAGCTTATGGAATAAGGCATGCAAAAGCATGTTTTACATTGTCGAAACACTTATTGGCACATCATATGAATGAGAAGCTTCAAAGCTACATCGTGTTCATATGGAAATACAAAAAGGAAAACAGGGGGGAAAGCAATTTATGAACACAGGCTGAGACTCGCTAGAGCTTCAGAGAGAAAAGGAAGAAATTACCCCTAGTTTATCAGACCTCTATTTCCCGGCCTACAAAAATAGCACACGCAAAGATAAATATCACGGAGCTCCTGCAATTTTAGTCCGATATCCTGATCTCAACTCCTAAAACGTCCTTCACCATCTCATACGTCACAAATGCAATTGCAATGGATGGCACTACCTGAAAAATTGAAGCAAATGAAATTATACCGTTTGCAAAGACAAGTTTGCAAAAACTGATTAGAACTCATTGCAAAAACTGAAAAACTGAAAAATTCCACGCACACATCAAAGCATACACCAAGGGAAGAAAACTGGAGGCAGTACAAGTTGAATGCAGCCCCTACATATTTTTTTACCAACAAAAAAAAAAAAAAAAAAAAAATCTATGTGCAATAGTTCCATCACAAGCGGATTAATAAAGGAGTTTCAAAGTTTCCTAGGGGCCAAATTCAAAAGAACAGTACAATACAGGAACCAACCACTGATGTTAAGAGAACAAAGATGATAAAACAAAGTATTGGATCCTAGCTTTCGTATACTCTTCTATAACAGTTTAAAATCAGTGTTCATAGCTTTGGTTTGGGCTTTGCCCCCTATATTACCCACACACACAAAAAAAAAAAATCAAATAAATAAATTAGTGTTCATAGTTAATACTAAGGATTCAAAACCCTCTTGATATCCAGTACCCATACACCACAAGTCATGATTCATAGCTTGTAAGCCACATAAGAATTAAAACAAAGGAATTTGTGGGCTAAAGTCCTAGACCTCTCTTTTGTTAATCCTAGTGAGACTTTTTAATGATGGTCGAATTTGCCACAACCATGCAACCTGTCACCCTAAGATATTATGGCAATTCCATGTGTAAGATTCATCTCATTTAAGCCCTTTGCCCAGCCTGACAAAATTGTTTTCACAAACTAATAACTAGCCAGCCGGAAATTGTCTACAAGCAAATTAAAAAACAAACAGATGATTAGGACTGACCTTAACAGAATTGGGAACCAAACCCTTGTACAACGCTCCAAAGCCCTCATGTCGAACAGTTTTCCTGAATGCATCAATCATGCCAGTATATTCAAGTGGGGCCTTGCTTCTCCCATCACCAGTGATAACAGAAGCAGCATTACTCCATCCCCCCATCTGCATCCTTCGACGAATGACATCAAGGGGGTAAGCAACAGTTTGCCCAACAGTTCCAGCAGCAGCCCCGCATGCCAACCTTGTTGTGACACTTAAGTCTGTATCTTCAACAAGTCCAAATGGTCTACTTTTGATTAACCAATCCTTCAAGGATTCATACACAGCAAAGTTGAGACCAACATAGGGAACCTGCAAACAAAAATCAACAATATAAGGTCCACATATTTCTACTGTGGCATGCCTAAACATAAATAGGTAAAAGAAGTATAATATACAAACAGGTGACATTAATTGTCCATATGAAGAAACTTCCAATCCAACTGCAGAGGAACAGCAAAACGCAAGAACAACAAGTTGTTTAATAAAACTTATGAGCTACTCAATCAACAGACTTTGTTTCTTTATACTTTGGAGCTCATATATCAAAAGTGTGGCAATAATGAATAAGTGAAAGCAGAGTTTTTAAATAACAAAAACTTACAACTCCAATTACAGAAGGAAGCCATCCCTTGTACAAAGCCCGTGGGCCCTCCTCGCGAAGCACAGTCGTTAGAGCATGGAACATTCCCCTGTACTGAAAGGGAGAGTTCTCTGTCTGCAAATTTAAGACCAACAAAACATAAATCCTTCCAGTGCACATATATAGAAAGTAATCATTCTCTTTCAGTTTTAACCATTGAGATTGAAGACTGAAATGGCAGGGGGGAAATATAAAGGTCTTTAAAACAGTTATCCTATGAAACAAAAGGAGAACAGGGACTGAAACAACTACCTGTACAGTTAGCCTTCCTCGTACCATGTCCATCGGGTAAGTTGCAGACATGGCAATAATTCCAGCACATGCTCCAGCTCCAAGACGTAGAAGAGGAGTGAGCTGAGCATCTTCTGCAGGTATGAAAAGAAAAGGAGATTTAGATAACCTACGTTATCCATTGACTTCTACCGACCCGTTGATGTTTGATTTCCAAGGAATGATAAAGATCATGTTATTTTCCCAACAATGACATCATACTAGTCACATAGTTTCTTTTGATGGTTTATAATGTGATTATGTGGATATTACATGCCTCTGTTAGACATTTTACGAGGCAAAACATCATTAAACAGCAATCCAACCTGAGTCAAAACGTTAACTGGCCCAATGCAGAAAGTTAATGAAATGTCGAGATGGAATGTAAGGTCTCCAAAGAGTCTTGTCAAATTATTACAACTAAAGGCAACAAAATGATGGTACGTATGGACATACCATTGCCAGTTTGATCCCGATACAGTAACAATATTCCCCTGTCACGAAGATAACAAGGAGCATTCAGCAGAAGGGAAAGTAGGAGAATGTAATATGAAGTTACATATATGAAGTTACAATACAATACGATGCATTCAGAAGTTGCAAAAGAATATACAATCATACAAACAATACAAGATTGATGGTCAAATATGAATGGAACAAAAATCAAAGATGAATTTATAACATACTGGAAGCAAAATCAAAAAAATAAATTAACATTAAATCTTGTTAGAAACATACTTAGAAGCTTGCTCATAGCTGAAGAACTTGACTGCTGAGTTGGGGACAATACGAGCACAATTCGTACCATTTCCTTTAAACAATCCACGGAAACCCTCAGTTCTCCAGATATATTTCAAGCCTTGTATTGTTCCATTGTATTTTATGTTATGTGGATTCTGGACCTGCAGACATGGTAACCAGTCAGGAATGTGATACATTTTTATGTGTTAGTTTGTGTACGCTGAGTGCATATAGAAACAAGTGAAAGATATTGTACACAATTAACTGAAAAATGGTACCTGGAGCAATATTTTCAGTCGCTCCAATGGAGCAACAGCTGTGCGTGACCTGCATGGATATTAAAATATTTCATTACTGGAAAAAGGTCAACATGAAAAAAACATGGAGATAGAAATAAACAATGCACAAAATGATCCTGCTAATATCAATAAGCAATGACAAGACAAGACAACAATTTCTTTCACATTACTAGAATCTAATGGACCTAATGCCATTGCATGCATAAATTTAAAATTTCAGATACCCGCATGAGAATTAGAAATTCACGCAAGACTTAAATCAAACCATGACCAATTATATACTACAAATTGCAGACGCTCAAAATTATTTAATCCATTGACGAGATTTAATATTCCGATTGCTTCTCCTTCTTCATTTTCATTAACCAATTACTTGGTATTGAATCCGTTTCTTCGCCTACTTTTTCCAATTTCAGTATTCTTAGCCGTCGCAGAAAAAGATTCAATTTTTTCGTGCCTAACCTCACAAAACGATCGAATTTATACAGTCATTATACCTTGGCTTCACAAAATGACATTGATTTCTAATCAAACGAGTTTTTAAAAAACAAAATCCAATTTTTGCGGGAAATTTTGAGGAACTTCATTACAGGGAAACAAACACCAGAAAACTCGAGAAATCGAGAACTCACACTCCACCAGCGACTCCACCAGCGACCAGAGACTTGCAGACACTGAGAACCGCAAGGCTCGGAGCCTTGACCACGCCCTCTCTCGCCATCTTAGCCTCCTCAGCCAGATTGACGATCGTGGAGACCGCCGATTCGCTCGGTTTCACATCCTCCGAAGCCATTTCAAAAGAGAGCAATCGACGAACGACGCTACCGTCCTCGCCGGAATCCTAGATCGTCGGAGACGTTGATCTGAGCTATTTTCCCGGCGCCACTCGATCGGTACGGTTTTTGAAGCTCTTCGTGGTCGTTTTATGGGAAAGCGAGCCCCTGCTTCATTGTTGTGTGTGTGTGTGTGGAGTGTTGTCCTTCTCCGAGGGTGGGTCGTGACTCGTGACGGCTTTCGGGAGCTGAAAGTGAAGGGCTTTGCTATACTACGAAGGTTATGTGACGGCGTTTGTTTATTAGCTCAAATTTATATCTACGGTTAGAGAGAGAGAGGAGCAGAGTGGTGTGTAGTGAAATGAGGAAGTTGGAGTCCCTGTGATAGGTTTCCACGTGGTAGGTGAGCGGGGTTCGGGTGGTGCATGGACCACCAAAAATAGATGAGTTTGTCTTATTTAAAGAAAGGTTTTATCCAATTAGGGAAGACATAATCTAATTAGGTTTTTCATCATTAAAAAAAATGTATAGGAAATCAGACGAAGATAGGATGGGAACCTTTTTCTTGTATGAAAGTTATAGGCTTAGTTTTCCTTCACATTGTTTGTGTAAAATGATGAATCGCAAACTTTTGCTTTACATTTTATTCATATAATAAGTTGATGTAGTGAGAGAGTCAAAGTGATTTTATCTTATTATTATTGTTGATTCATATGACACGAAAGTTTAAATGAATAATGTGTATTGTAAATTTTAGTAAACAAAGGTTGAATTGCATTTAGAGTAAAGAAAAGACAAGATTCGGGTTTCATTTAGGTATTTTGGGCAAAGAAAGATGATCAAGTGAGAGATCATGCGGATATGTTGGTATTTGAAACACTGGATCATTTGGCTAGGAGACCAACAGAATTTACCAAAATAGGTAATTGTAAAGGTATCATGAGTTGCAGATAGGGCATCTGTAAGATTGGCAGCACCAAAGTATAGCACATTCCGCGCATCAGAACAGAGCAGCAGAGAGTATCTTTCTTCCCGTGCGTCCTTGGTTACTTAACGGAACCCTAACCATCTGACGACGTCGCTCTTGTCTGGGCTCGGTACAAGACGTAGCACACCATCATTGGCTAATTGACACTGGGCCCCACCTAGAATAATCTTATCACGTGCGAAATGAGAGCATCACACTTGTTTGCACTTATTCCAACATACCAACTTTTGATAAGGCCCAGATTCTCTTGGATCGACTACAAGAAATGCTATTGAGCCCAAAAAAGCTAGACATCAAACTAGGCCTAGAAAATTAACTAATTTATCGCATATGTAGATTAGCCCAGTTGATCGATGGTGTCCGCTCCATGCACCTGAGTTTTAACTCCCTTCCCGTACATTAGAATAGTTTAGAATATCATTATTGTTTAAATAAAAATATTTATAATAAAAAAACTCATTTATCATCTTTTATATTTTAAGCAGTTCTTTTTAAAATTATAACATAATGGAATGAAACTATAATTGAATCCAGCGTTTGAAAACTAACTGATGTATCACTTATCGTCTCGTTAACAAGTGACTCGTTATTACTTTGATATTCACTCTCGTCATTGCTTAAAAATACATGAATATGTATTCATGCATACCTATAATACAAATTTATAAATAAACCCAATCCTAGACATGTATTTATAAAAAAACCCAAGCACTATTTAAACATAGAAACACACCCAAAATCAACCCCAAAGTCAACTTTTTGGGTGTGTTTATAAATGGATTTTGAGTGTGTGTAATGATGGGTTTTGGGTGTGTTTATATGTTTAAATAGTGCTTGGATTTTTTTATAATTTCAACTCCCATTTTGGGTGTTTTAGTGAAACTCCCGACTGTGTTAGGGAATATGATTTTTATTCAAACAGGAAAAAAGAGCCGATCAAATTTGAATAATTTGACGGACAACGACATATACGGAATGCTTACCGACTGTCTAAAAAGACATGATATACTGAAGACATAACATTGAAGTATAGCTTATGATAACCGAGCTGATAAAACAGCACAATCATTCTACACATTGACATAGCCTTTTGGGACCGAAGGGGTTCGCTCTAAATTTTCAACCGAAGTGTTTTTTTGGGAGTAAATCAAGATGAAACTCTTCTTTTGGGTATGATTAAGTGAGTGATGGGTTGGGCTCTTTGGCAAAAGGGCTTGTCTGCGTTGGTGGTGGTGGGCCTACTATCACCCAATGCCCTGACTCTGCTGCTACTCCAAATTCAATGGGTTCAATTCAAACATCAATAATGCCAAAGACAAAATTGCTGGGCCCTGGCTAAGAGTGATTAACCGAAAACAAGATTAATTAACAAATAATTGTTCATCGACCCAGCTAATTAATTAGTCTTACGGGTGATATAAAAATGGAATTTTTGTCATCTATAAGTGACAAAAAATTTCTTTTTCCATAACAGTCTATCAATCATGGCGTGCTGCTTGCTTTATCATGTGAATGATATTGCAGGTGCATGCACGTTTTACTAGTTAGGTCAAATTCAACATTTGGAAGTATTTATGACGGGTTAATCATATCAATGATTTATGCCTCTGACTTGCGTTTTGGTCTATGAATTTGGTTATTAAATTATGTAGTCCGCGTACTCTGTCGTGGCATTTTGGTCATTTCCCATTACTTCTGTTGAATTATGGGGTAAAAAAGTTAATTGAGTGCTCTTTACCCCTTCAACGGTATGACCATATTTTTGGGTCCAAATATTGTTACTGTTTTCTGGCCACTGACCAATATTCCCGTATTCGATTCCAAATCACTCAATTTACTATTCTTAATAAGTTAATGTAAGCAACAAATCAAACCACAATCAACCAATTTTGTCAAAATAGACATGAAGTGACCCTTTGCTTATAAAATATACGAAAACTTGACATAAGAGCACTTCCAGTAACAAGCCTACTCTAGACAAAAAGTCCCCTAGGCTTCAAAAACCTATTCCAACCATGGCAGAAGGTGGGCTCTACCAAGTTTGGACGGGCCCAAAGGCAAGACTTATTTGAACAATCTGACGTTAGCGGCTAATTTAAATACTAAAAAAATATCATTTCCTACAAATCACATAACCGCATTATGATAAATACCAATCTAAACCTTAAGAAAAATAGTAGTGACAACAAATTATGTAATGGGCAAGATGCACTTCTTCTTGAATCATGAGTACATGTCTAATTTGTTAATTGTTTTTTATTATTATTTCAAAATAGCATGCCACATACCTTTTCATAAGTATTTGGTAATTGGCCTTGTGCCTAACAACCTAGGAGAGTTGCACTCCATTATGGATTCAATGATTAGGCATAAAAGAACATATATATATATATATATATATATATATATGTTAGATGAGACCTCCAAATCATGACAATGGTACAAGAAAACCGAAAACAATAAAAAATTAAAATGAAGCCAAGAGAGAGTTTTGGTGTTAGTTTATATGTTATTCTACAAATCCAACAAAAATGATACATAGTAAGCCAAAATTTGGATAAGTAGAAATGATCAGCGCACTAAATTAAGTATGCTTAAGTAATATCAAATGTAAATAAAAAATATTTTTGTCGGCAGTTAGTCATTGAGACCAGCAACTGCCGAGAAGATAACTTTTCTGCAGAGGAATTAGTGGTGGGAACCATGGGGGGGTCATTAGGACAAAGCGGGATACAATTCAAGATCCTTTGCGGATTTGAACCCAACCAATAAGCTTGTGGTTTAGTACTTCTAACTATGACGTAAGTATGAGTTAATTAGTATACAACTCAACCAAGAGCTTGAGTTAGTGGAGAAAAACTTGTTTGCGGAAGGAGTACGTTGTCTCATAAACGAGACGAATTTCAATGTGAAGTAGATACATTGCACCCGTCCACATGCAAGTTCTTTTAGTAACTTTAGTAGATAATTAAAATATGTATTGTAATTTAGATACGGGCATAACTAAATTGGTTAAAGCAGATGTATTCTCCACTTTAAATTCGAGTTTAAATTCCTCTTTTTATAGGTTAGATTAGATTAAAGTAAAATATCGTTTGTAAACATAAAAAAAAAACATGCATCGTAGTTAGAAAAAGAAAAACATTGTTAGTAAATAGTTTTGGCTATTGGGTCTTTTGGCTTTTGCCTTAATAGAGGGTACAACGCGAAATTATATACGCTTTAGACCAAAAAAGGCAATTACTTGTCTTATGCTAGGATTTGGATTAAAAATAACAAATTCGGGCTACAAAATCGAATACAAATTGCCCCTAAATTAGGGAGAGAAAAAAAAGAGTCAATTATTTGGATTAATTCGTGACTCTACCCCACTTCATAAAGTGAGTTTATCGTCCAAAAGCTGACCAATTAAACTTGGGTTAGTTTGATATTATTTTCAAAATCAAATGCTTTCATTTTCATTTTAGAAAAAAAAGGCATTAATTTCGTAGTGGGTTATCAGTTTGAGCACCCGAAATCATATCTTATCCACAAACCCAAACCAATTGGAATTTAGCCAGAAAAATCACCAAAACAACTTGGTATTGGCTTTCGATTCTCATTGCCAATAGTGGGCATAATTTTCCACGAAAACTCTGATTTTGAGTGAATAAGGGGGAAGAAAAATAAAATGCGACCACCAAATAAAAGATTCAAATTGTTCTTGCACGGGTTGTATTTTATTGTTTATATGTTCTGCTTTCTTGTTTGTAAAAACTCTCCTTTAAAGCAGTGTTCGTTTCGTATAATCTTGTAATTGTCTTTTATATAAACGAATCTACTCTATTCTAAAAACAAAAACAAAGACCATAAAACTCAATTTGGGATTTAGCCAAACGCTATACGCATATAGATTTGAGTTCACTTGCAGCCATTTTGGTCGGCAGTGTATTTAAGTGGCATATTGCAAAAAAAAAACACCACGCTTTTCATGTGACCATGTGAGTGAGTTTCGCAATCCGTCACTTTTCTCACAAAGTATTGTGCTACGGTCCAAACACACAGACCATAAAGTTTCTCCCTTGCTTAATTCATTAATAAAATTCTATGGCCGGTCCACTGTTCCTTTTCACATGGATAGAGCGCATTCTAGTCAAAGATTTTATTTTATTTTATTTTTTGTTGTCGTGTTCTTAAAGAAATGAAAACGAAAATAAAGCGACGGATCTTTCACTCAATTCAATTCATTTGGGGATGAGCTTCTTGTGCTTTGGGAATGGGAGTGAATCATGAATGCGACTGTAAATATAATGAGGCACATGGGAATATAATAATCACAAAATTTAATATGTTTTTTTAGTAAGATATTTTTATTCTGGGAGTTTAAAATTTTCTAAGTGCCTAGAGTCTAGTATTTAGATTTTATATTAGAAAAAAGAAATAATGAATGAGGGCGATTTGATTATATTATTATGAATTACAACAAAGAAATTGTCTTAAT